CACACTTAGACAACAACATTCTTCAATCAAACAAAATATTCATATAAAAAATGCACTACAAACACAACAGCAATAAGCAAATGGTAAGAATAAAAAAATATATAAAAGATAATCCATCTGTGTAAATTATTCATGCTGCAATGCATACTGTGAGCACACACATTAACACATTTAGGCCATGTCCACACATACACGTGTATTTTTATAAACTGAGTTTTTCCTTCTTCTGTTTTTAAAAAAATCTCCATCCACATGAAAACGCAAACGCATGCTATGAAGCACTGTCAAGAGCATGCCAAACCAACAGGTGGCGATATAATCTCAACCGTAAAGCCATGTTGGCCAATCAGAAGCCTGAAAAAGTTTCTAGTAGTTGGAGATAACAGCACATGCTCCGACGTCACAAGCCAAAAACTCAGGTTTCGCTGTCTACACAATAACACTGAAACCGGAGTTTTTGAAAATCTTCACCCTGGCAGGCGTTTTCAAAAATGTTCGGTTATGGCTACCTACAGGAAATGCCAAAATGGATGCAATTAATCTCATTCACACCACAAGGGGAGTATGGAAAATAATACATACAAACATGCAAGCAACATACAGTAGGCTATAGAAAAGACATTATACAACAATATTAACACCTTTATGGCTCCTACACACGTTAACACTCAAACACATACAAATAAATATGTAAGTTCAGACCACTTGTTCATTTGATAATTAATCTGTTTTGATCTTGCTTTGCTAAGTTGAAACAGCTAATACTGTAGATTCATGTCAGCTTACATAGAGCAACACTAGAGCAGATTTCAAACATGTGTGTCAAACCCAGTTCCTGGAGAGAAACAGTCCTGCTGAGTTCAGCTAAACCCTGCTCAACACACTGACTGTTGAAGCTGAAAGGAGTGGAAAGTCTCTATATAACATAGGAGGCGTGATGGCAGGGTTGAATCCATATGCAGCTTTATTAAATCAGCGTAGTCAATACAGGCAAGGGTCAATCACCAGCGAACAATAACCAGAGGGCAAGACAAAAGAGTAATCCACAAACAGGCAGATGATCGAATACAGGAATAGATTAAACAGGACTGTAAAGAAACGCTCGTATTGTCACAAGTGTCTAGTGATGGTGCCCTAGACTGGCCACTGGATGGCATTCTCCCCTTCCACTGTTTCATGTCATGAACTCCATTTCACATAGTGCTTTGCCCGGTCTTTTTTCCGTTATTGATTATCATCAGCTGTTGGTCATTTACCCATTAACTTATCACTATATATACCATGCTCACTTTGTCTTTTGTTGCTGCATTATTGAACCTGTTACGTTTTGTTTTTCTGTTTCACTGTTTTCTTGGAGTTTGCTTTGTGGACTACCTTGTGGATTACCTTGTGTTTTTGCCCTTGCCTTGTTTTTGGATCTTTGTGTGACAAGGAATAAAGCTGCACTTGTATCTACTATTTTGTCTCTGAGATTCCGTGACAGGATAGTGCAGCCACAAACGGATCCAGCAGCATGAAGGACAGGATTCAGCTCTCTGAGAAACAAGTCCATCTCCAAGGACTGGCTTTACTTCGCCTGCAGGGAGTAGAGGTGCGGACCTTCACTCAGAGGTTCTGGAGAAGGGCGGAGAGGCTGGGCTGCTAGAATGCAGACCTTAAGGATGTTTTTAACTTGTGTCTGGATGAACCCCTACTACCTTGGGAGATGGAACTGGTAAAATATTTGGATCTCTGGAGTTTCACCAGGTATTTGCAGCTCTGTAAGGAAGGGAGGGTAAATCACCACCAGAGTCAACCTGCAGCGGCTGTCCCATCCCCACCTCCTTTGTCTAGTCAAACCCAGGACCCTTCATCAGTTCCCCCGTTTAAGTGAAGGTCGAGGAGGAGGAGGGCAGCTAGTTCTACAGCAGTAGTTCCTAAGTCCGCTCCTGTGGGTTCAAGTCCGTTGGTCCTGGAGGACCCGACCTTCATGGTCCCAAGTCTGGTGGCCCTGGAGGACCCAACCTTTGTGGTCCCAAGTCTGGTGGTCCTGGAGGACCGAACTCCCGCGGTCCCTAGTCTGGTGGTCACTGAGCAGCCCACTCACCTTGTCTCACCTATGATCCTTGCCCTGCTGGCTCCACCCATAATCATTGCACTGCCGGCTCCAACCAGGCTCCTTGCTTCGCCGGCTCCAACCAAGCTCCTTGCCCTGCCGGTCCCAACCAAGCTCCTTGTCCGGCCAGGGCCACCCAAGCTCCTGGGCTTACCGGCTTTGATAGT